AAAAAAAAAAAAGAAGAAAAAAAGAGAGACAAAAACTTGATCATTTGCAGGTATTATTGTATCGTTTAGTTTCTTGATGAAGAATCAAACAGATTCTTTTGGAATAGTGCTATGCACTTTTTTTAAACTATCTTTGTCGTATGTACAGTAAACAAAATAAAATTCTAAGTACTTGAGATATATATTTTCATGTTGTATAAGTAGCTGTTTTGAATTTGATACATTTGATAAACTGTTATAACAACGGCTAAGTTGATTTGTAATCTATTTAAAAAATCAACTCAATTTTTTGCTCTAATTTTTATGGAGAAAAACCTTAGTTTCTAGTTGAATTTGCTTTCATATAAAAACACAGAATAAGCTGTGCATGCTTGAAGACAGACAGTGCATGCTTGAAGACTGATTTGATGATAATGCCAATCATTTTTGAGTACCTCTCAAGAAAACCCTTAATTTTCTTTTAAAAAATGTATTTTAACTGGAAATTAACATTACAACTGTTATTTTAATTGTTTTCATTTGATAAACAGCTCTGTCAAACTAAGATATAATGTTTGAAAATTAGGCACCTTTTTTTGCGCATAAAACTGCAAAAAAAAAAAAAAAAAAAAAAACTAGAAATTTGAAAATTGAAGCACATTTTTTTACTGACTATAGTAAAGTTGTTGTTTAACTGTTGTTTTCTTAATAACACATAAAAAATGATTGTGTTCAATGGCTTTTACTGTTTTTTACTATATTGTTATATTTTTTTTCCTGGCAAATTATTTATTCGTGTTGACTAAATCTTTTACTGGTAATTAAAGGTATAAAGAAAAAAATTCTACATCATTAAATGTTTGCTTTTTTTTTTTACTTTTTTTTGTGTGGTCAGAATTTGATAGCATTTTAGCAACATAATGGTTCATTGAAATGATTAATGATTATATGATTTTGATGCCGGAAAAAAAACAGGTACACACAGTAAAAGATAGAAAAACGGAATCACGTGAGTTAATCAAATGATTAGACAGAAGAAATACGGACGTCGGTATTGTTGATATTCATTTGCGTATATTTGTTGTTAAAACGTTTTTTTTTTGCTAACTAAAAGTTTTTAAGATAGAAATTTATATAGAGTCTAATTACAGTTGTCCTCAGGTTTTCTTTACATTGAAGAAAAGATGTATATTATATTCAAAGTTTACTCAGTTCTGTTAAAGGCAAACAACCTAATAAAAAGCACCTTTACTCTTATAACAAACTATAAATTTTGCAGTTCCTAAAAAATAAGAACATAACGTACGAAAGATGATAATTTTTCTTGACGTAAAAGATTTTTTTTTTTGACGTTTTGTGACAGTAATTTTTTTTAGCCAGTTTTCAAAGCTAAAAGAGAGAATCAGTTATCAATTATGTTGAGGCAAAGATAGTTGCCACTTTAGAAATGTTAATTTTAAAGTTACCTACTTTTTCATTTCATTTTAATTCATTTTTTTCCTGCAAAAGATTTAATACCGGCTACATTCCGCTCAGTTTTCTGGTACGTACGATAACAGCGTTTATTGTTTTATATTCGCCAATATCAGCTAAACTTTTAACGTTATTAGTGGAGACATTTTGGTAAATTACAGTCCTCTAAAAAGATGTAAGATTAGAAAATAAAAAATTTTGTAGACGCTTACTTCTTAATTTTTTATCATGAAAACCATTTTACTATCTAATATTTTTTTCCTTGTTAGAATTATGTTGCCGCTCTTTGCCAAAAAAAATTCCTTCTTTAGTGTAGGCGGTAGCCGTTATTTTGACAATAAAAAACAAAAAGAAAAAAAAAAAAAACTAGGGCGTCAATTAAAAAAAAAAAGAAAAAAAATTTTATTTTTATATATTTTATTAAACCTTTATACACATTTAACAGCGCTTCTCATTGCAGGAATTATACTGCTACACTGACATTGAAGCTTCCAATTTGGTATCGTCTTTTAAACAACGCCTACACTGACTTGTTCAAGACAGACTCTAAAAATTATTCTTGCGTCTAGTAACAGCGGAAGTTTACAAAGCATCTTGCTGAGATACTAAGTACTTTAGGCAGAAAACACATGAAGCGAAAAAAGAAACGTTAGAACTACAAATTTGAAATACATTGATAAAATGAATTGCATCAGATGCCTAATTCATATTCACCTATGATGGTAACTGATCATTTAGTCAATTTTTGCAATCACTGTTCACCAGTAAACATTGCCAATGTTTTACAGCTAGTCTTAGCTACAAAAACCTTGACTACTTGAAAAATTTCTTTATAAAATATTTCTGTTAGCAAATTTTACAAAAAGTTTTTAAGTCATATTCATTGACGGTTACAACTGTTTTATAACCAGTATGTCTAAATTTCTACCATTTTTTTGAACATTTTTGATGTCGATTTTTTTTTTTTTGTGTACTGTTTTTGATAACGTATATAATGTCGTAATAATTAAAAACAACCAAAAGATTGTTCTCTATCAAATGAAAAACAAACAATAGTGCATTTATTTATTGGTCATCATACCGATGACTATATTTTTTGATAAGTAAGTCAAATGACAAACACAGTATTTGGCCTTATAATCGTTTCTCTGATAAGACTTTTTTATTAAGCTGGTCAGTTCCACTTTGACAACAACAACATCTGTCTTGCCTTTAGTTTTCTTTTCAGGAAAAAAATATTTTTTTACCAGTTAGTTACCTCTTGACA